GGTACAATAATTGCCATTCCCCAGTCCTTTGGGATATAACCAGTCTGGTCTATAAATGTGAAGAGAGATGCTAGTAAAGGTGCCCACCAACTAGAGTTCCTTTTAATTATTTCGGGCAAGACGCAGTCAACACCGGGAGCCTTGTTACCCTTAAGGGATTCAATCAGCCGGGATACCTCTTGTACTGTAACTGGAGGCCAGTGAGGGGGTTTATCCAGATTAATCTGACTCTCATTCATGTCACAAGCAGGGTCCATGTGCAGCCCTCTAAAATATTCCTCCCATGCGTGAGTTGGTACCTGATTAAGTGGGGGAGGGAGTAATTTTCCCAGTCCTCTAGTGATAGGCCAAAAAAGGGATGTATCTTTCATCCTAACTGAATTAATTTCTGCCAAGATTCCTTCAATGCCGCGCTTTTCTTTTCTTTTAAAAGGGCCTTATATTGAGCCTTTAAAGACCTTAAAGAACATTTAACTTTTTCTTTGGCTGTTTGCTGTTTATCAACACTCTTGCCCCGGGTGTGAAGGTTAACTGCATCTGTCTCATAAGCTTTTGTAAGAGGAAAAGATCTACATTCATACTTTGCACAAAAGCTTCTGTATCATCACATCCAGGTCATGTTTTATGGCTGAAAGCTGCTCAAATATCGAGATCATGGTTTGCGTCGTGAGCAAGCATTGTTTTGCCATGAACTCCGTTGAGTTTTCCCGTGGAAGCCTCTCCATATTCTGATTCTGATTTTGGTTTTTATTTTTAGTTTTAGACTTAGTTTCAGATCCCCTGCAGCAAGTATTTAGGCTAATTACATGGGGTGATGACACACGAGGGGAGCCCTTACAGGAGTCCTGGCTCCCATTTACCTCTTCCCTAACAGATAGGGAAAGCTCTAATAACTTTTCCAACTCTGTTTGAAGATCCCATTCTAGTACTTCAAAATTGTTGGAAGTGGGAGGGAGATTTATTTTACTTACATTTCCCTTTCGTGCAAAGTGATCTTCAGTTCTTGGCTGTTTAGCAGACTTCAGTGGAGGAAGGGAGCCCGGACTGACAGTGCATCGTTTCTTTCTTTTTCCCACATCTATCAAATTTCACACAAGGTTCTTTATCTGCGCAATTGTCTTCACAGTGGTCTTATCCAAACGAAATTACTTAAGTTAAAAATAAATCCAGTAAAAATAAGTCCAGTAAAATATTTAAAAACGATTAATATTATTATACTAGCAGGAGCTACGAAAAAGTGTCAGAGGAGCTGGCCCCTCCTGCCTTTTGAAAGAAGGATACTCCTCCATTATGTTAAAAGAGATATATTGCTCTAGTCTCTGTTCCCTCTGATCTTGAAAGCTCAGTCTTATCTTGTGTTTATTTTCAGAAGCAAAAGTTTCCCAGGGCAGATTTTCTTGCACTTAAATCCAAATTCACATATTGTATTTTCTTAAACGTTTAAAACAGTCCTTAAAACGCTGTTTCAGATCCATCCAGCCTCTTAACCATCCCCAATCAACATTCTTAATTCGTTTTCACTGTTTCCATTTTTTTTTTTTTAATCTTTAAACTCACTCTAATCTTCTTTCTCCCAGGGTAGTAGGAAATCCTCCCACTGTACAGCAACTTGCCTTTCAGGAGGTTTTTGATTGCCAGATAAATTACAGATAGGCAGTTTATGATGTTAATTAAAAGAGGCAGTAAAACAAATCTGTTTTCCTTTTGAAGGCTCAGCACCAGGGCTTGGGCTCCGTGTTTTTCCCTCGACTCCCAGAGTGTTCCATCCTCTAGAGATTGCTAGACTGCAGTCTCTTCACAGGGATTCTCCATAAGGAATACCTGTGGTGATCCTGTCAATCTCCTTTACCTGGAGGTGATTCCAAAGAGCTGAACCAGTGCCAGTTCCTGTAATTGCCATGGGTGTTGGCTACACAAAAATACAGAGCTGCATTCAATCAGCCATTTCTTCCCCGGAAACTCACTTTCCTCTTCCTAAAATTTTACAATAACCCAGATTTGTCACTTTCCATTTTTACTTTTATTATGTGCATTTCTACATTGTTACTTTCAGTAACAAAATAGTGTCATCTGCAGACCTCAGATTGTTAGTGGTTTGACCTCCAGTTTTGGTTCCAGCTGTCATTATTTTGAATGCTGCCATTCTTACCAAAGCATCCACACAGGATGGGGAGAGAAAATGACAAAATTCATGTTGTGCCATCTTGTTGCAAGCTGTACTCCTTTTGCGCATGCTTCATCACGTAGCATAGCTTGACTTAGCTTGATGGGAGCAGGTGCTTTTCTCATTGTTACCTCTGTGAGGGAGGGAATTGTTTTCTCCAAACGATGCTGCTTTTTGGGGTCTTATTTCAACTTTTCACTGTTTTTTATTTGTGTTAAGCCACCCAGAACCATTGGAATTAGGTGGCCTAGAAATCTGAAATATATATATAAATAAAGTGCAAAGATTTCTGAAAAGAATTATCAGGTATCCTAGCACAGCCATTAACCTTAATATGTTCACATTCTCGTTCAATCTGTACAAAGTTCTTGCTGTAATCAGTGAGGTAAACTTCCATTCTGTATTTCCATCCTTTTGTTTTCTCCAATTTTTGTTTTATGTCAGCTATTTTAACCTTCTTCTTATGGCATTTCTCTTTCCATGTATGATTATTTTTCTTCGTAAGATCTTAAGGAACATTTTACTTCTATGAGAAATGTGACCATTTTCTTGCATATCCTTCTTCGAAATTTCTCAATCTCTAAGCCACATAGTCTTGTTCCATATTAAAATATGGATCCTTTGGATCCTTGCCCAGCATGTCTGTTGTTATTATGCAAGGAGTTTATCGGAACTGGCATAGTAGACATAACACCTCACTAAGAGAGAACAGGATGCCTCCTTGTCAATAGAAGGCAATGGTTAGACCTCTGCTTATGAGGCCTGTCCTGGATCCCTTGCTGATGTGAAAATTATAATCCAGTTTCCAATCTTCCATGGTTGAGAAAAAAATAGAAAGTGTGGTGGCTAATCAGCGTCAAGTAATCTTGGGGGAAGCAAGACCCATTTCAAATTGGTTTTAAGTGGGCTATAAGGCTGAGATTGCCTTGACTGGCCTGATATGGGACTGACAGAGGGAATGTGACTATGTTGCTTCTTTTAGGTCTTTCAGCAGTTTTGATACCATCAACCATGATATCCTTTGGGTTGCCTAAGGGATGTGGGTGGGGGACACTGCACTTTCTCCCAGGTAGATCTCAGATGGTGGTGTTTGGTGGCAGTTGCTCCTCAAAACAGGAACTTTTATTAAAAAAACTATCAGGATTCAATTCTGGTACCATTACTTGTTAAACATTTACATGAAACACTGAGTGAGGTCATCAGGTGATTTTGTAGTGAATTTTATAAATATGCTGATGCACATATCTATTTCTTTTTCCATATCATTGTTGTCAGGAGCACCTGTCTACCAACAGTAATGGACTGGATGAAGGATAATAAATGGAAACTGAATCCAAGAAAGTTGGAGGTACTCATTATGAGGGGTTTTGATTTGGAAAAGGGGATAGATTGTTCTGGATTGAATTAAACTCTTGTGGAAAGAACAAGTATAGTAATACACATTGGGAGTGCTCTGGAGGGCTTGTCAGCTGTGACTAATACAGTAACTATTCCCATTCCCTGAAGAAAACAATCTCAGAATTACCTCCAGACTGGACTATGTGGTCAGATTTGTCTTTGGGACAGCTCAGGGAGATTATATTTCTTAAATATTTCCATTGGCTGTTCATAGCTTCCTAAGCGAGATATAAGGTGCTGTTTAAACCCCAATATAGCTTAGACTAGGGTTAGCTAAGACAATGTTTCTTTGCATGATCCTCACTGCTCATTAAGAGAGTCAGAAGAGCTCCATCTTTGGGTACCACCCAGTCATCTGGTGGTGACTGGGATGCCTCAGGTCTTACTTCTAGAGGTTATGGAAGCCCTTCCAGTAGATATCAGGGCTGGGGTGTGTACAGGAAGAGTAAAAGAAGTTGAAATGCCATCCACAACCTGGCAATGAAAGCCATGCTCCTTTTTAGGTGAGTCACACATGCAGAGCATCTAGATCAGGGTTTCTCAACCTTGGCAACTTTAAGAAGTGTGGACTTCAACTCCCAGAATTCCCCAGCCAGC